TTTCTTTGTGGAATCGGTAAATGAGTACTTAATGTCTCCAAGCAGTCAAGAATGCACTGAAGTGTGCTGCTGTCTGGATTTTGGGTCTGCCTTTAGCCCTTGCCACAGAATTGCTTTATTTTTTTTTTTTTTTTTTTTCTTGGTCTGCAGCGCAGGGAGTTGGATACCTTACAAGTACCTTGGCTCAACACACAAGCTTGTTGTTTTCTCTTTGAGACGCAGCTTTGAGAATTAAAAGGATCCTTAAACTCCGACCTTTATTTTCAGTGTGAGACTTTTATAAAGTGGAAACCTATTATCCACAAACTCGTTTCTGTGGAGCGCGTCACAATACAGCAGAGGCCCTTGAAATACAAAAGAAAATCCTGTGAAAAGGATGAAGCTTCTCTTGCATGTAAACTTTAAAAACCACAGCCCCCTCCCACTGGCTTCCAGAACGGTACTTTCTGTGCGGGCTTATGCGCTCCACCTACGAGACAAGACATACATTTTTCCAAACACAGCAGAACATACATCTCTTACTCTTCATATATGTCCATTGTTCAGTGCAAGTCGTATTTCTCTCTGCTTCTCTCTGGAAAAGCAGTTTAACTACAGGATTAACAGCAGCACCTCGAGAAACGCACACCGGCACGTGCCTGGCCGGTGTTCCCGGCTTCGGGCAGCTGCTGGGCATCAGGTAGGATAAGCAGCAAGAGGAGACATCCCCTGCGGAGGCCTCTGTCGGTTCTGCTACGAAGAGGGAAAAGTCCATCTCTCCTAGCAGTCCTGCTCTGCTTTTTCTTCTGATTTGCAAAGGTGGCTGTAGATTTCCAAGCAGCTCCTGTACAGGTAAGAAGTAAATTTAGGCTACTGAATATTTACATTAAGGACTCTGGCTGGAGAAAACAGGGAAGGGGGACAGATGCTATTTGTGAAAAACATTCTTTTTGTCACAGTATGGAAGAAGTAATTAGGAAACACTTAAACTGGCTCAGTCTGTGGTCTTGTGAGCGCGCGGGCCTAGCCCGGCCCTTCCAGAGCCCTTGGCAAACAAAGCAGCTGTAACAGAAGGGAATGTAATTTTTGGTGTGAGCTATGGGAGACGGCAGCTCGGAGCCGTGCTTAACTCTCAGGTCCCTGGCGCTAAATGTGAAACTTAATGAGGTGTCCTGACATAGGAGAAGCCTTGCATGCTAGCGCTTCCTGGGATGGCAATTTGCAGGTTGCTGGGAGTTAAGAGACTGCGCTGCTCCACCCAGGCTTAAACGCTGGTCTGCGATTTAGACGTGTGATTTAGGACCACAGGACCTGGGGGTTGTGGGGATCTGGGCTGAATCGTAAACGCAGTCACTCTCGTTAATACGTCTTGGGATGGCTGGTGACATGACAGGCTGAAATGGAGACCTCTTCCCCTGTGCTTACCTGGATAAAAGAAAACAGCACCTGTTTGTGGTCGGGAATGTCCTCCCGTGGTGCGCTTGCAGGAGGAGGGTTGAGTGGAGAAGGGGGGAAAAAAGAATGCTAAGGTAGCCGTGAAGCTACAGAAAATGGTGAAGAGTGTGTAAGGCTGAGATTGGAGTAACACGTAACACCACAAAATTTGGTGAATAAAATAGTCCACAAACTTATGGACATTTTCTGGAGCTTTAAAAAATCCTGTGTAATAGGACCTGAGTGAAACCAGCGGTGGAAAGTGATAAGCAGAAGATAGCATTGTAGATGTTCTTCAATGAGAACTGTTTCCCAAACCTAAACCTCAGCTCCTTTCCACATTCTTCTAAGGAAACTGGTGCTTTAAGTTGCCATGCCTGCTTCTTGGAAAGCAACCTCCACTCCTACTGTACAGGAATTTCCACCAAATCCCTATTTGCTGGGTGGCAAAAGGTCTGGAGCTCCCTCTGTGCTGCCCCACCAGCCCCCTTGCTCACACACCAGCCATGTGCCTAAGGACCAGGCGCAAAAGCCCATGGTGTCTGATAGCTGTGTGACCACCAGCCTCTCTTTGCCACCATCCTCCTCCTCCCAGCCCCTACCCAGCCCCTCCGCACCACAGGGATGGGACACAAACGGACTTGTAGATGGAGAGCTCCCGGTGGAGGCTGGTCCTCAGCTCCTCCAGCTCCTGATTCTTGCGCTGCTGGAGCTGGACCCCGTTCTTCAGCTCCTTCAGCCTGTCTTCCAGCTCCTCAACCTGTTCCTGGGGAGTAAGAAGACACGCGTGGATTAGCTGGGGGAGGAAGGCTGCCTCAGCACTCACGCTCTCATGGGGGGATCTGCCTGTCAATGCTTCTGGTCTGGACAAAGCGCAGCCGGGCTGATGGCTGGCCAACCACCATCCCAAAAAACCTCTGCAAAAAACCCCTTTGTTTTATCACCAAGGTGGGAGTGTGGGCTGGGCTGTGATGTGTGGGGTCCTTAGGCTTCTCTTGGCTGGTTGCTTTTGTCCCCTAAACTACTTTATGTGTGTTTTTAGAAGCTGTCAGGACTGTATAAACCCATGAGTCAGGAGAAGATAAACAAGGTGTTTGGGAAAAAGAAAATGAGGAGGCACATCAGGAGTGCCCCAAAGTCTGGTTCTCCAAGGGAGAGCGGACCCTGAAATCCAAGACGAGCAGTGTCGTGGGTGCTGGTGACCTGGTCCCCAGCCCAGCAGGGAGGAGAAGTGACGGAGGGGGGATGCCGGCTTCCAGAAGCTGCTCAGAGCCAGGCTGGGAGGAGGCAGCAATTACGAGCCGAGAACAGGGAGTGTTGAAACG